TTTTGATTCTTTTTCAATATGATAGATATGTATGGTTAAATTGATTATCATTTTTTTTTTTAATGGTCTAAATGGAAACTAAGAAATTCCCTTAAAACTTTTTTAGAATAAATTTCTTTTTTTCTTTACTAAAAATTGCGTATTTTTTTTCCCTTTAAGATGTTGATTATTTTCCCATTTACTTTGTCAAGAAATTTGTTTACTTGAAAATTATCCGGATTTTATATTTTAGAATGGTGAAACTCTTAAAATATATTGTTTATTATTTTTAACTATTTTTATTTTTATTTTTTTTTTTTGGTTATAAAGTAAAAAGGAAACAAGTGAAAAGTTATTATTTATGGATTTTGAAACTCACGAGAAATTCAACCATTTTACTACAACAATATTTTTTTTTTACCTGAATTTTCTTTTTTAAATTTTCCCATCATTAAAAATTTTTTTAAACATATAAAGGAAAATTAAGGACCCGAAAAAGATTCTCTTATTTAATAACGTATTAAATAATGATGCCATTCATTATAATACCTGATTTATGCAATATGCAGATATTGTCAATTCTAAGTCGAAAAAAAATAATTTTCTCAAGATTATCACAAGTTAACTTAATTAAGCATACATATTATTATTTATATTTGTACATCAAAATATTTATATGCTATATATATATATAAATTATATTATATGTAATTATGTTAATTATGTTATAATTTTATCCAATATAATTTTTAATTCATTAATTAATATATCACCTAAAATACATCACACTTTTTTAATGGTTTAACCTGAAAAAAAAAAACAAAAAAAAATTCTTGGTTTGGTTATTTAAAATTTTTAAGGAGTTTTTTTCTTTATGTTTCATAAAAGAATCACAAAAATAATTTTTAAATTGTTTTAAATTACAAAATTATAAGACCATAAAATTATTTGAAATTACACAAAAATTTGTTAATATCAATAATAAGAACAACTTTAACAAACAATAGAAAGAATGGATCACGCGACATTCTGGTTGTTTCTCTAATTACATAATGAATCCTGTTATCGGAAGGACCCTTGACAACTATTGTATCAAGATTATATGATATCATTCTCGATTCTACGCTATGTATAGTATCGATCATCATCATATTTTGGCATCACCAGAAAATCATGTTAACGAATTTTAGTGAATTATTCATTGTTAAATTTGGTTAAAATCACGCTTTTCTAAAAGTGTATCTATTGAATTCCCATTTACATTATATTTTTGGGGAGGAGGAGGAAGGGTTCAATGAATATCTACAATTCCGATAACACTCCGTAAACAAAAAAAAAAAGATTTCTCGAGTTCATTATTTGTTTTCTTTATGTGATTTATGGCAAATTGATAGCCACTAAAAGGTGACCGATCCAATAATTAAAAAGTTGGGCTACACAATGAGGCAAATCGTGTGACCTCTTGCAGCATATCTACGTATTTCCCAAGTCATAAAACTTTATTTTTTAAAAAAAAAGCATAAAAAAGTATTAAAAGAAATTTTCTTATTATAGATTAGTTTGATAATAATATAAATAATTAGGTAATTATTTAGATATTTAGATAATTTTTTAAAATATTTTCTGATTTCTAATATATTTATTATTAAATTCCCGAATATTTTAAGAATAAAATTCTAGGTTTTTTTTTTTTTTTTTTGAATGATGATCATAAATATTTAATATACTGTATGATGTTATTTGTTAAAATGTAAATTTCCCTCTATTTCAACTGCATTTAGCACGATATACTCGATATACTCTCACGTTTATTGTATAAGTTGGTTTATCTGGTTATCCGATCTTACTTCATCTTACTTTTTAATTTAACTATAATCAGAACGATTTCTTTTTAGGCGGATACATAAAAGTAATTTATTATTATATATTACTGTATGTACTCCACCTCTTTTCACTTCCTATTCAAATTTTTCACACAGTAGGTCATTTGCTATGTTATGTTGCATGATGCATATCAAATACGTAATTTAATAATCACTTAAAAATAAGTTATATGCTGTGTGACAAACGTAAACTTTAAAAAGTTCACTCGCGAGATATGCATTGATATGCTGTAATTCGTGATTTCGCGTTCTCGATATGTATATATGCATATTGAATCGTTACTTCTAATGTTGTATTAATTATATTTAATACATTACATATTTATTAAAAAAATGTTAGATATATGTTGGTTATATGTTGGTTTACCTTCGTGGTAAAATAACACGAAAGATTGCATCATTATTTATATTCCTATAAATACTTGTCGACCCACTTTTTTTTCTCTATTATAAGAAATGTTTAACATTTGATATTTTGATTATACATATTTTTTTTTCTCTCTCTTTCCTTTTTTTTCTTCTTTCTCTAGAAACACGCTGTACATTTAAGTTTGTTTTTAACACATGTCAAAAAAATAAAAAATGATATAATATAATAATGATATAATTTATAATTTATTTATCCATTGTTATTTTTTGAAAAAGTATTTTTTTTTCATATGAAAAATCAGGTCTCCTTATTTTTTTTTTACGATAACTATTCTTTTCTATTCTTTTACAATAAAAAAAAAAACATTTTTACGATAAAATAAAAAACATCTTACGATAAAAAAAAAAACATTTACGATAAAAAAAACATTTACGATGAAATAAAAAAAAGAATCTAAATAAATAAAAAAAAAATGTTCTTTTTCTTTTTTAATTCGTAAATTCGAAAAATTAGGTTTTAGAAAAAAAATTATTTATTTGTTATAAACATTTGATTATTTTTATTTTTATTTTTTTTTTTT